AAATTAAACGTTCTTGGAATAAACAGGCTAAAAGAACACAAAAGCATGCCGCATTTGGCGGCTATGAACCGGCTCGCGCTTCTCATTACGTAGTGCCGATGTGCGCCCGACCGCTCGATCAACGTAAATTTCGGCCTCCTTTGTGGTTCAAAACAGACAACTTCGTCCCTTTTGGCGGCTTGATGTCTTGATATAAGAAATTTTCCGCCGATTTTGGTGATTTGTTTGGCATGTTTTTGGTTGAAAATGTGTTGCAACTTGACAATTTTTTTTTCAATTAGCCGGCATTGGCTTTTCAAATAAGGGGCGTGATAAACAATGGTGTCAATGGGAAACGGTTTGGGTTTTCACAATTCTTTTCAATTAGCAGACTTTTTCTTATAAGCGTTTTGCAATTAACTGGCTGCCACTGTATTATCGGCCAGAGGTAGAGTGCAAGAAAAAGGTCCAAGAAACAGTGGAAATTTCATAATCAGCCTACTTTGAAGTTCCTACCTTGTTGGACAAAAAGTTTCCCGAAGTACGTACACACATACATGTAATATTGTCTGAACGTTGATTTCCTCCAGGCCCCCTGCTCTGATTGGCTGCCGCCGCTGCTGCAGGATGCCCTGCGACACGTGTACCAACGCAGCATCACGGAGACCAAGGATGACATCCTGGACATCATCCAGAAGGTAACACATGTACCTTCTCTTCAATGTTTCTTCTTGCATTCTGAAAAACATTTTATCAGTTGGCAAATGACTTACTTTAACATACTAACTGTAACATGTTGCCATCAAGCATTATTTCTGATTTTGGTGCCTTGAAGCAGAACCACATTAAGATTTGTCAACAAATACTAGTAGTCACACAGTGCTGTTCAAATGCCCTTTTAGGTCTGGCTAAGGCTACTGGAGAAGGCCCCACTGGAGTACCTGGTAGCAGCGGCCTGCCCCTGGCTCAGTGCCTGGTTGTGCCTGGCCATGCAGCCGGCTCAGGTGCAGATTGACTCCACCATGCTGGTAGACAGCCGTATGAAGGGGAAGGTAAGAACAAAAAAAATCACAAATTGAAATACTTGTGACACTAAGTTACAATACACATATTAATGAATCACACAACTGGAAGACAAAAGCCATTAGGATTCAATAAAAAATATAACAATACATTTTTTATAGAATGATAAATACTACAAGCCTTAACACTACCATTAGTGTCCTGTTTCTTGTATAAGGGTACGGTCCAAAAAGTGGTTGGTTATTGTAATAACCAACCACTTTTGAGGTTACAGCCTGATAACAGATGGGAAATGGAGCCTTCTGATTGGTCAACGTCTTCTTGCTATATGATAATGTCAGTTACCATTATTGATTCCAGATTTTACATCAAACTTCCAGTTTGACAAGCAAGACATTGTGATTTTTTTTGTTATGATTTGATGCAGGAGAGAGGACCGTCCACTCCAAGGAGTCGAACAGCCCCCATCATCAAGGAGGTTCTGGAATATATTGGAGGGGCGGAGTCAGTTACCATGGATACCCCACAGTCCAGGGACCACTGTGTCATCAAAGCACGACTCACTGCTGTCAGGTGACCTTGACTTGTGACTTTGACCTTGCCAGTTTGAGTTACAATATGCACCTCAAGGTTTCTTGTCAGAAGAATACTTTTTTTTTTTAAAGTGAACTTAATTTTTTTGACAGGTTGCTGGGCTGCCTGTCATCCTACATTGGTCAACCGCTGCCCACTTTACAGCCGGGTGAGACAGCACCAGTGGACAGCCTGGGACAGCTGCTATGCTTCCATCTGAGTGGGAAGTCTGCTGTCCAGCGAATGGTGGCAGCTCTGGTGGTTAGGAACTGGGCCCAGTTTCAACAGGTTCGGCAGTTCCTCTCTGAATTACTTAATTTTTTAACCAGAACATTTCAAGGTACTGTTTTTGTATTATGAATCATCACAATTTTAGTATGATGTCTATGAATTAGATATTCCTTCCAAAACCCTCCGGACTTTCAAGCCACAAGTCTTTGATATTTTCCTTTTCCCACAGCAGCGTACCCAGGACAGCTGCTGTCCGCAGCCTGTGAGACAGCGCTTACAGGAGGTGCTGACTGAAAACTTGTACTATGACGAGATCACCACACAGTTTACCACCATGCAGACTGAGTGCAGGGTCAGTCACTTAGTAATACTCTCAAAACTGTTTTGGGGTCAGGCGAAAGGTTTAACTGGTGGGTTTGTAGCTCATTGTCTGAATGGTTGATTATCTAGTTGATGCATTGTCCTTTCTCCAGTGTCACTGACAAAAGGTAATTGATGCTACCTGAAACGTCAAACTGTTTCCAAAATCATATCCAGTTGCTTAAGTAACTGTTTTTTGGCGTAACTGCTGACATTTCTCAACGCTTTGCAGGCGTTCCTGACAGCACTCCAATCCTGTGGCTGTCCTGTAGACCCTATCACCAGACAGGGAGGTTTACTGACTGTAGAGCAGGCCTCAGCCCTGGCCAGGACCCCCTGTAGTCAGACTGTCATGCCAAGTCAGATGCAGGTGAGTGCAGGGGGTGGGAGAGAAAGAGGGAAGTTTAACAAAAAAAAACATTGTTGGATAAATTGATGGATGATACTCTACCTTTGTAGGTCTGTCAGTCGATTTGTATGTAAAACAATTTACGTGCCGACCCCGAGGGTTAGATGTGCTTGTACATCAATACTGTGGCCTGATGGCAGCCCGCCATTTGCCTCTATCCTCTGGGTTAACATTATGTAGGTTCAAGATTATTTATTATTACTGTAACAACTAATTTTAGGTACAAGTATTAGGTACACAGCCCTGCCAGTCTGTCTGTCAATACCAGTATGAAGATATAGTAACAAATTGAATGATTGTTTGAAAGAAATATAGTACTAATAGTTTGTTGTGTCCCCCAGAGGTTGGAGGGTCAGCGGTCAGCGCTGCAGGCGGCCGTCCAGGAGACGAGTGCAGAACACGGTGTACACCAGCTGCGTGTGCAGGGCAGCGTGGCCAGCGCTCTCGTGTCCCTCCAACTCCTACCCGACAAACTCAACCCCGTCATACGTCCCCTTATGGACACCCTCAAGAGGGAGGAGAACTCTCTGTTACAGGTGTGATTTGTTGTGATTTGATTTGATTTGATTTGATTTAGTGAAATTGTAACAATACAACATACGTGGTACACAGGTAGCTATTGCTGGTATTGTGTCCCACACATAGAAACAAACAGGACAATACTCATTTTCACTTGAGTTATTGAGGAAAGTCGTGTAAAGTGCCTTTCCCAAGGGCACAAGATCAGTGGCATGTCAGGCCTCAAAACCATGACCTCTTGGTTCCAAGTTGAGCACTCTGCCATTACATGACATGTTCTTGTGATGTTCATTGAAGTATAAGAACATGTGGAGTCCTTTACTACACCCTGCAGAAGGGGTAGGACCGAAAATTTCCTCACTCTGCAACATTTAAAAAATAAATTTGGCAGACAATTTATTAGATAGAATTAAGTGTGCAATAATACCATAATGTTCACTGATAAAGTGGTAATTAGAATTACTTTAAATTGTTAGTGCAGCCATTCTGTTAGTCTTGGTTTTATTAAGTTATACACTTTTGCCATATGTGAAGAATCTCAAATAAAGCCTAATCCCATGCCTCCACCAGGAGTCTGCTGCTAAAAGTCTTGCCATGCTGCTAGAACAGACCATGACCAGGAGACCCTGTCCCAACCCTAAAATCACCAAGAACCTGCGAGGGTTTGCCTGCGCTGACTGTGTACTCACACCACTGGTCACTCAGCCTTTACAACCTATCAGGGGTGAGTGGTTCAAATTTCCTGTTACCAGCATCTGAACCATTCCAGCAAAATTGCTTGTTTCTTGGACATAGTAAAAGATAAATGCTGCAAGATGCGAGAGATTTTAGTGCGGCTGTTAAAAAGATGGTACAATGTCCTGGACATGTTGCAAGGGGAATTTTCTAATATGCAGATATTGAGCACTGAACACCAGGATGTATTGAATTTTACATGGCTGTCCTCATACTTGGGACCAGCTATTTGAATATTCAAAGTGTACGGTTGCATAAATTTTGTATTTCAATGAATGTCTCCTGTTGATAGTTATCACTTGGGACTTCTTCTCTCGTTAAATTTTCATATAGAACCAGCCTCCAGACCGGCCAGCCCGGTATGTGGCTCCCCCGCAGCCACCCCCTCCCCGTCAGGCAGGGGTACCCCCCCCTGTGTTCCCCCC